TTGCCCGTAAGCGCTGTCGGAACCAGCGAGACTTGCAGACTTCGGTGTCATTGACACAGGGCTTATTGAGAAGGTAATTCCTTCCGTTTCAACGCAGATTCTTACGGACATTTAAGCCTCGTTGAGGCAATAATCGATTGAAACTGTGGATGTTCTCAATCTTAATGGGGGAGAGTGTAATGGGGATTCACATACCCTGGTAATAGGGGTGTGTGTCGCACCAGATGGTCATGGTGTGACCACACCCAAACAGGAATACGATATGTGGCTGGATAGCCAGTAGTTATATATGTATTTACGTTTTACTATACATATTTAGGAAAATCTATGCATTTCAAATTAGTTGGCTTTGCCGCCGAAAAATGCCAATTTTTGAATATAAACCGAAAAGTTAATTAGTCTTGGGTTAAGGCTTTAATTACTTTTGGAGTTAGCGGTTGCGATCGGCTAAATTTGTACCTATTTTGAGTATAGAACAAAAAGTCGGTGACCTAACTAACGCTTCCATCTGTTGTCGATTGCCTTGCGACCTTTCGTCATCGGCAAAGGTGTCCAAATCTTGCTTTTGTGAGGTGATTCAATATTTTATAGTGATACGTGCCGTGCTACTTGTCGGCGTTGAGCTACTTTCTTATCGTTTTCAGCCACCACATCGATCTCATTGAGCAATTTGAACCGACTTGGCCTTTTTGCGCTTAAATTGTCTGCTGCCATTAAAGTGACTTGTTTTGTTGATGTCGATTGCTGCCAGGCTCGAACTCCACATCTAGTATTGGCCAAGTTTGTTGATACCGATCGCTGGTGAGGTGTTGATTGCCTGCAGCTCATGAACAACATCGCCAGTCTGCAATGAGTATTGAGCTTTCGCTTCCTTGTCTTCGATTAAAAATTCTTCTGAGCCAAAGTTGCTTTTCTACTTTTATATATTGCTCGTGGCGACGATAAGACTGCGACCGCTTTCATTTTCTTTACATCGATACACTTTCTTTTTCATAAAGTAGCCCAAAACTCGACATCGATTCGAGCAAACGATAAAATTAGCACGCTTCTCTCTTGGACTTTGAACGTACGCGTGATAGCCAAACACCACCAAATTTTTCAAAAGCTTGGTTGGTTTAAGGACATATTATGACAGATAGCGCGTGTCGGATACTGATTGCAAAGAAATGTAGTGGTTCTTGCAGCTTTCCCTCAACATGACTTCGGTAAACAGCGTGTTCCAACATTCAGCGAGTGCACTACACAAGTGCATGATTCATGCGACAGACAGACCATTCATCACATTGATAACACAAATAGATATGGTAAAATATTTCTACAAACAGACGACAGACTATGAGATAGCACAAACAGGCAAATTTTGGACCTTTAACATATCACTTTGCATTTTTCGAACAGTGCTCATACCGATCTTTTATAAGGATATGACTTCCATGCCTCCGACAATGACTTCGCCCTCTCCATGGGCTCCCTGCACCCAATCGCACCAATAAGTTTGGCTGAACGAAATGCAGACGTGAAATTTCAACGTTGCATAGGCGCGGTTGGATGGACACCTCGAGAACAAAAGTGAACAAGCTCTTTCTTCGTCGTCGCTTACTGTCAAGATGACATTGTATGAAGTTATACTGGAATAAATTAGAAAATCAAGACGCTAGCAGAGTAGCTTGTCGCAGTGGACACTCACATCAGTGAGACCGACTTGGTTATTCCACTGCTTGTCAACCCTTGCGAGTCGTATGCGTTTCTTATCGCGGCATTGAAATGATGCCCTGACTCGCTGTTGCAATGCATTGATTGTTACGTACAAGCTTGTTGGGATGCCGTGAAGACGCCACATCTTACCTCTGGCATTTTCAACTTGGTCACATCGGCTATGGTGGTTAATGCACGGTCCCACTAAACATTATGACACGAGTATAAAACCTAGCGCCAGTGATTTTAGTAGGAGTAATGCAATGGACGCGCGCTTGGCAAGCAGAATTGTGGGGTTTTGTGAAGTCCTGACCAAATAAGTACTTAAAGTGTTTACAACGACGTCTGCGGTCTGAAACAGATACCTACATTTGGTGGGAAACGATAATTTGTCACGTTAAATTGACAAAAACCGCAATATTGTGTCATACTTTTGTTGAGGATCTAGTTTCAGGTAGTTCATGAGGTTGCTCACTTTGTTGCATTGACCGAAATTAGTTTAAAAAGCGTGTGAAAACTACAATAATGGTAGCTTCACTTCTGGAACAATACTCAAGTTCTGTGCAAAACAATGTATGTTATATGTTTACGCCCCCGTGCACGCCTTAGCTTAATAAAGTGATTGGATTTACCGCTCTATAAAACAAGTGAACATTTGTCTAGCGTCTATTTAATTTTCTTGAATTTATTCAGCGTGCGGCTACCAACGAGACATCTTCTTGCTAACAATACATCGCTCGGGATTACCCATGACCATCATTTTTCAAGAATGAAACTTTCTGTACGCTACCGCATTTAATCGCGATACTTCACTATGGTACTATCGGGGTCAATATTGTACTGCATACGCATAACATTAAGTAGTATGTACCCCGTTTGAGTCGATGTCGAATAAAAATGTTGACAGCACATTTACTTTCAATTGCTTATAGTGAAAGCGTAAGCAAATTAATCAGATGCTTCTTGAGATTTTATACTGAGTGAAGTATCTTTCCACTTTGCGGCAAATAAAGTTAACTTTCTATAACAGCTTTCAATTAACTAGAAGATCGCGACTTTTGACTCTATGAAGTGTAGCCTTTCTAAAAAGGAATATGTAAACATTAAAGCTCCAAATCGAGTCTCCTCAATTTTAACGGAGTACGTCGATACATAATGTACGAGAATGTGCTGAATGGTTTTCCAAAATTTGTTGTTTGTCACTTCCAAAGTTAACGCTGCTTAACATAGAAACATGCATATCTCACCACGCATGCGTCACAAAAAATTTACATCCCGCACACACGACATGGAGAATATATGTTTTGTGCACTATTATGCAGCCATTATACGACTTGCAAGCATTCTGAATGCATTCCGATAGCTTTGCAATTTGATCTGTGTGAGGCAGCAACTCGATCCCAAGCGAAGCATGTTGTGTCAATACGAGCACGTTCATCAGTATTGTACATAAAAGCCACTACCTCGCTACCACTATAATCTAACTGGCCAAAAGTTTGACAAAACGAGATTATCGTACGCGTTGCATAAGAGTACTCCGGTTATGAGAACCGCATGAACAGGCACATGAA